GGGTGGGACATTTCTGAGTGGATTTCTTTGGCTTCCCTGCTAGGTTAACACCGAAGAATGGCAGGGATGGACTCGAGGATACTGGAAAGGCAGTGAAGGCTTCTCCCAAATGCCCTCTTCTCCTTTCCCATCTGGTGAAGAGGAAGAGCTTGATCTGGCAGAAATGTTAGCCCGCCTTGGCAGCCTGGAGAGGGCTCATAAAAAGCCACCACTGACTGCAGTCTGGCCTCAATGGCTAAGATGCACCCCCAGTCTGGAGACCTGTTGGTGAGTTTCAAAGATGGTGCTATTTCCTCTGGAGAAGTCTTGTTTTCTTTCTCCTATCATTTACTCCCTTCCATGCAATAAAAGTTTTGGAAAGAGGAGTACATTGATGTGTTTTCAATGCTTTTTTATGAAGCAAATTAAAAATGCTAAGAGCAAAGACAGGAATCAAGAGAATATGAAGCATAGGAAGGTGGCTAGGTACTGGTCAAAATGGTGTCCCTGAGTTTTTACATATATGAGGGTGACATGGCAGAAGATGCCAATGTGTGGGCCTGTGCTTTTGAAATACTGACATTGTTCACTGGGCTTGCTCAGAATTCCAGTTATTTTGCATGATTATTGTTTCTGGTCAAAAAGGATTCACAGGTTTCTGAATTGTTGCAAAGACCTGCAAAGACTGCTTGACCAGAGGTGAAATTGTCCACGTCATGAGCAATGATGGCTCAGTCATGCCTCTTTCAGCTTGCTGAAAAAAGGCTCATTTTGCAGCCTCCAATGTGTAGTCAGGCTGAGGTCACCATGAATGCATTTCCTCATATGTGAACACATTGCTTGTATAGATGCAGATATAGTGAGACTTGGCAGTTCCCATGCAAGAATGAACCCTAGGTTTCAATGGATTCATTCAAATGTATCTGCCATTCAAAATGATTGTGGCAAAATTGCCATGTCCAACAGAAACATGAGAATTGAGATGGAATATACTGACTTATGTTCCAAGTTCACTTAATAAGTTTGTTATGGAAGAATAACGACAGCTAGTCTTCTGGAAATCTCGTCAAGTAACTTTTTATTGTTATGTTGGGTGAAGTGCTCAGACTTCACATCTCAAGTGTTTAAAAAATATGATATCTCTGTCTGTAGACTTTCCTATATCTGAGAGCTCACCCAGCACATAAAGTTTCAGAATAAGGTGGCTAAAATATGCTGGCAAAGCTCCCAGATGTCTGTTTCATTTGCAGCAGATCCCAGAGCATCAGTCTCAGTCATCAACCAGTGCTTAGGAGAAGTGATCGATTGCATGAGGATGAAATGATTGATATTATTCATTCATTAATTTTTAACCACAATATCCTGTCCTTTTGTTTCAGTCCAAAACCCAAGGTGGCTTATGTAGCAGACTAAAAACAATCAGGTAAAAACAAAAGCATATAAATTGACAGAGGGCAGCAGGTTGTTTTGTTTTTCCCCCTTATAAAACAACAAACATGAGAAAAGTCAATATTAATGAAATAAAACCCTGGTCATGCTGAAGTCCTGCTGAAATTATTGTTGCCAGAATGTTTAATTAGTGACAGAATGTTGTGGGAAACAGAGCCAGACACATGATCTGGGCAGGGATTTTACAGGCTAGGCAGAGGAACAGAGGAGACCTTCTCATATGTTCCCACCAGCCACATTTCAGATGGAGGAAGGGTATACGAGACAACTGCCCCAGGTGGCCTGAAATGATGGGCAGGCTTACACAGGAGAATTTAGTCTTTTAAAATATGTGGGTACTAACCCATTTAGGCTTCAAAAGTGATAACCAGGCAAGATGAAGCTTTTGCTATTGAGAGATTCATGTGTCTGTTATCATTAATGATGTTGCTTTACTAGAATGGTTCAAATTCACAGCCTACAAAGCTTCTTGGCCAGCATTAGCAAATTAATCCTAGGCAGTGATCATGTGACCCAGGATCACTTTTTAATCATCTGAATAGGGCTATGTGGATTGCACCCTGCCCTGTAAGATCTGTCTACCATCATTCATATGTCTGTAAAACATCTAGAGTTGGATCCAGACTTCTAATATTTGAAGTAGCCCCACTGAAATCAGTGTCACTTAAGTACGTCAGTGGATGTAGTATAAGGATAACAATACAGCGGTCCCTCTGGTTGCAAACAGGATCCATTCCGGAGCCCCGTTCACAACATGAGCAGAATGCAACCTGCTTCTGTGCCTCTGCGCATGCGCGGGTCATGATTCGCCACTTCTGCACATACACGTGACGTCATTTTGAGCGTCTGCACATGTGCGAGCGGTGAAACCTGGAAGTAACCCTTACCAGTACTTCCGGGTCGCCACGGGATGCACTGAAAACGCTCAACCTGAAGCAAATGCAACACGAGGTATGAATGTACTTGTAATGTAAAACTGGGATTTCCAAATTTATGAAAACTCTGTTTAGATTGCTGTGCATTTTTTTTAAAAAAAATTGGGAGTCCTACAACTCTTCCCCATTCACTGTTTCTTTCTTCGAAGAAACAGTCACAGAAACTACTCATGTTTCTTAGTTTCTCCTGTGTATCCTTATTACATTTATTCATTTTTTCTACTTAAACAAAATTATAATTGCATTTAGCTTTGCAGCAATTTGTTTCCCAAAAGTAAATTCATAGAGAATATTAGAATGACACAAATACAAAGGTTTTAATTTCCAAAAGCTATTAAAATACACTCCCTAGCAAAATGTGTGTTTGAAGTTCAAATGAAAGACAATATCTGAATATAGTAATCCTCAGGAGAATTCATGGCACCTGTCAGGCACTGTAAAGGTTTTATAAATGTTGTCTTCTGCAAAGTCAACTGCAAACATCATAAGGCCTTTTGTAAATATGTCTACCAGCCTCTTTGTTTGAGCAGAAATATTGAATTTCCCAGTATTATGATTATAAACCGGAGAAGATTATTTTAGATTTTTAATTTTTTTAATAATAGCCTTTTACTTTTGCCATGGGATCAGGTTTCATATCATATATTTAAGTGCTTGAAAATATTTGATTTGTAACTGCTGCAATGGCCAAGAAAAATTCCAGCCGCAAATGTTATTTACCAGTAAACATACTTGAAGTGAAATCTTAAAAATAAAGGATGATGTGACTCCTGAAATACAGGGGTTGAACAGCATCTTTCAGATCAGTAAACATAAAATATTTGCGCTCTCAATCACTTCTTTTTTAAAAAACCAAAATATAAGTGATACAAATCTCTAAGTGTGACTTTCTTTTAAAAAAACAATTAAAAACCCATAATAAATTAAAATATTCATATATGTAATAGCTTGGATCAATGACCATTTTTCTGGCTGACCACCTTAAAAAAAATCCAAAAATTCAAATGCACGAGGGTTGCACGGTCACTTTTGTTAACTGTGAATATTTAGGCTGCTATGCTGCAGATGCATTATTAATAATGCTTGGCAGACTGTGATATTTGTCACTTGGCTTCTTTAGTTTGCTTTGAATGAACTAGAGGTAGAGGGGGGGCCTTTGCTGAGCAAAACAGATGTGTCTCTTAACCCTATATAACCAACATAGGATGCCTCTGGGTGAAAACATCACAGTGTATAAAGAAATCCTATTCAACCCATGCAATGATAATTGCTGATGCAGGAGAGCAAAGCAGCACGGGTTAATTTTGCATGATTCTTGGGCTAGCCACTCCTTGACAATGTCCTTGTGTGTTGGGTGGGAAAGGCTACTGAATTCTGGAACCCTCCAGGGCCGAGTGTTCATCCACCTCATGGGGACAACCTTCGTGTGCTGGCAGGCCACTCACTCTGCCATAGATATCCTCCCAAATACACGGTCCTTTCTTCCTTCTTTGCACAATTGATATTGGGTGTGTTGAATGCCCAAACCAGATTTAGGTTTGATGAGGCCCTAAGCTACTGAAGGTAATGGAACCCTTTATATGTCCACCTGTCCTTTTTCAACAACAAATTGTCTCTGTTTTTGTGTTGAATATACGCTATATGGTAATTTATGGACCTAATAGGTATCTAAAGCCATTTGCGCCTGTTGCCATGCAACAAGTCCATGAAGAATGGAGGCACCCTATATATAGAAATGAGCAAACCAGTGATATTTTAAGGAGCAGGCTAGCAGGTGGGGCCCATCACTCACATCATAGGAGCTTACACAACACAAAACACTGATGCTGTATGTAGGTTTTATTTTATTTGTTTTTTATGTTATATTTTGGAAATGTACATCCAGTTTTTTTCCTTTATTTTTTGGGGGCCCCCCCAAGAGAGTGGGGCCTTAAGCTATAGCTTGTTTAGCTTATACGTAACTGCAAGTAGGGCTATTGTTTTGGAACGTCTGTAAGTTAACTCTGTGTGTTCTGCACAGAAGGGATAGAATTTAGGATATACAATGGTCACTGAAAAGAGGCTGGAGATTGGCTATGAATAAGAACCATTCTTACCTCTTCTCAAGATTCTGTCTTCTTGCCTTCCGGCTTTCTTAATGACTTTCCTGAAGCACCTGCTTCCTTTCCTCTGCTTCCCTCAATCATTGTACTAAAAGCAATTCCTCCAGACTTTCTGGAGACTTACCTCTCCCTAGATCTATATTACGCTCCTGGAGAAGAACTTTTTTAGAAGGAAAACTATTGCAAGAAGGAGGTTTCAGGGTGGTAATTTTGAAATGGAGGATGGAGGCTGCACACGCAACAGCCCAAATAAACTCCCGACCACATTATCACTCCCCCCTTGCCATCCTGTTTGTGGTTGTATCCTTGAATTCTACACTCGGTGCCTTGAAGACTTAATGGCTGGAGTGCATATAAATATAAATATACCCCCCAAAAAAGCACACACAAACCAAGTGTATCAGAGTTTGGTAAAGAGAAAAGTGCCCCCAAATGATCTCTATATAATGTAGCTAGATCAAATGTATCTACTGCACACACATACATCAACAGACAAGCTAAACACATACCCTGAGGCCCAAACTGGGTTACTTACCCTTCTCCAAGGCACATCCTGCTGTTGTGTCTCAGGACAGAGAGCTAAAAGGAAAGAAAAAAGTGCATTCTTTTAATCAGTATTTGAATCACGTTTCATTAACAATAATAATCAGAATTGTATACAAATCTATTTGCTTTTTAATGAAACAAAAATTCCAATTGTCTTCTGCAACTTGGGAACATAAAAACCATAAAAGTATAAAATTTCAAACGGAATCCAATTGAAGGATACAATGTCTGTATGCTTTTTTTAGGAATTCTCATCCCCTTCTATTTACACCTTTTTCTTCCTTTTGGGAAAAAGTACCGTATTGGCTTGAATATAAGCCGCACCCGAATACAAGCTGCACCTTTAAAATGGGGGGGGGGGGGAGAGAGGAAAAAAAAGGAAAAATACCCGAATATAAGCCACTCCCTTCCTCGCTGCTCTTGGCTGCATGTTGGGTAAGGAGTTGCGCTGCGTTGCCAATGGCCTTTCCCCTTCCCTTCCCCTCTCTCTCCCTTCCTGGCCTTGGGGGAGAGGACAGGGAATACGCATGGGGCCACTTTGCCATGCTCCTGGCACTATTTGCCCTGCATTCCTGGCTGCATACCGTAAGGCCGCGAATATAAGCCACACTTTAACTTTTCACGGTCAGAATTTGGAGGGAAAGTGAGGCTTATATTCAAGCCAATACGGTACATGTACCATGCTCCTATGCCATGCCTGAATCTGTGCATTTTATGCACACAGATTCAGAACAGACCTGTGTGAAATCCATTGCTGGAGTGAAAAGCTGTCCATATGGCCTGACCAATATCTTTCAAACAGATTTTTTTCCTGCCCAATAGCACTGATGTAGCTACAGATGCAGGTGTTTATCACAGAGAGCACAATGCAAGTTACCTGAGAGTGTGGTTTTTATTTCAAAGGAAACAATGACCTTTCTGGACAACAACAAAAAAAATGAACTTATTATGCCACAAAAGGTGTGAGCATATGGAAATGATGAGAACCTCTGACCTTACCAGTGATGGACTGCAATTCCCATCACCCAAGTCTGCATGGGCAGTGATCGAGGATGATGGGACTTGTAGTATGACAACACAAGTTCCACAGTCTCGATGCATGGAATAGATAGGTGAGTCAGTATGAAAGTAAAGGCAAAAAGGGGTGTGAGAGAATTGTATATGGGGACAATAGTGGCTAACTGATTAACAGAGAAACACACTGACTTCTCTTTTGTGTATAGCAATCTTATGAGGCCAGATTAGAGTTTTCCAAAAAAAACCCACACATTTGGTAAACATAACTTTCCCTTGAGTCTAATCTTATTTCCTGCACTTTTTACTCTAGCTATCACTGTTCATAAATTCTGCTTTATTTAAGGAATAAACCTTCTAGCTGAAAATATTGAAAACTCATGAGTTTATTTGTTACAAATCTAATAATTTCAAGATTTTAAAAACAAATGCAGTACTTCATGAGATATGAAAATTCCATTTTCTGAGAGTATTATCCAATTGCATGTTTGCTGCAATAATTCTTCGGAAGGAAGCTTGTTTGTAAATACTGCAAAAGCAATACCGTTCTGAACATTCTCCCACCATATTACTATAAAATTGAGACTTGTTTACATATTGAGGAATAGAAAAGTCATTTTTTACAACAATAATAAACAAATACATTTCATTCCATGTGTTTTGTTGCCTGCGATATTACCCATTTCCTGTGCCATCACCTTTATATACCAAGGTCACAACCCAAATCTCCCCCACAACTGGTGGGGCCTTATGGGGTGGTACTGCTGCACTAAGTGGCTGGGGCAGAAAGGAGAGTCAATAAAATCATAAACGGGCTCAGCCCTGCAACTTCCCTCTTCCAAAAGCTAGCAACCTATGCTACACCACTAATAACCATTTGCCTAACTCAGTGGAACTTCCTTTTTTTTTTTTTTGTAAACATGCATAAGGATTGAACTGTTGCATCTAAATCTAATGAAACAATGTGCATGTTTTGCAACTAATGAAACTGCTGTATTGGTAAAAATATTGCTGTTGTTATATATGTTACGTCTTGAAAATTTCAATACAGCACACAAAATATAGATTTTTTATTTTTTCCCTCTAAGGATCTGGGTTTTTAAAATGTCTTTGCAGTTCACCTTTAAGTATAGTGACTTGATCTTGTCACTTGTCAAATATGTCAAAACTTCTCTTGCTGGCTTTGTTGATCAATATCTATATGGAACACATTGACGAGTGTAAAACATGTCCTGCATTAATTCGGCAAGTACATTTCTGGATGAGGAATGGTTGGAAATGGAATATAGTTCTAAAAGATTATTCTCACGTGTTCCTTTTAAATTAAAAGCATCTGCGTGGTCAGCAGGAGGACTAGGGAAGATTGTTAAAGCAAAATGCACCATGCATGCAATTTTGCACTCCCCTGTTACACAGTGCACACTGTTCAGAGGAACCCTAGCACACCAGAGAAGGTTTTCAGGGACACAGAGGCCTCCAAGTGAGTATGAGTGATTGGTCACACCACCGTTGGATACAATCCATAGTTATCTTCTCCCCACCTTCTAAATTGAAACCAGTGGCTCAGGGAACCAGCACAAAATGTAAAGTGGCCAAAATCTGGCTCGTGATTTTGACACCAATGACTCCTCAGATAGCAGAACAATAACAGATGCTCCCCATGCCACAATCTAGACCACCATTAATCTGAACAACTCAGGTAGTGACAGATGAATGCTTCTGGTGGTTCATAAACAACATAAAGCAGACTGCTGTGTAATTTTGTGGCCTGTTGTCAAAACGGTTGCTTGTTTATTTTTAACTGCTGTTAGTTTTGCTCATTACTTTGCTGTAAAGGTTGCATGGTGGGGGGGGGGGAGCTGCCAAGGAGGCAGTGGAGGGACTTCGAAGGAACACACTGCCATAGTTGCTGTCCTGTGGCAGCAGCCATGGGTGACATATTTCTCAGACGTTGGTTCTGCTGCCCCTGTGGATCCTGCCACCTGAGGCAATCATCTCACCTTGCCTCAAAGTTTGGCTGGCTCTGCTAAAAGTCAAGTCGTATACTATGGTCCCAAGTATGCATAGGATTCAATCCCTAACATTGGAAACAACATATTCTTAGCCATCTACTGTATTGCATTTTCTGGGTATGTTTCAAATACATCACAATACAGAAGATGTCTTCCCCCAGCTCTCTCTCTTGCTCTCTCTTTGTAGGATACTGCAGACAAGGAAGGCAAAATAAACTTTATCTGATATTCTTGTTCTCATAATAGCTTTCAAAATGGAAGCAAAACAACACTAGGATCGAAAGAACTATATAATTAGTTCTGTACACTCAAAGAGTTTTGGAATTATGCTTTGCAAATAGCAGTCTTCCATGCCACAGAGAACTTGCAGAGGCACTTATGCCATTTGGCACTGGGTCGTGGGCACCTCCAAGTCTTTGACATGCCTCAGGTAGTTCATTGGATCCTGGCCTATGTCTAATAACATTGGCAGGGCAGTTGAATGACAGTCAATCCACTGCAACTGCTGCAACAATAAACTCTGAAGTTAACAGTCTTTTAAAAGGCAAGACTTTTAGAGTGGACTGTATAAGATTATATACAATTATATCAGTTTCCTCACTTGAAGACCCAAAAGATGTAGTACAATGGTACCTCGGGTTAAGTACTTAATTCGTTCTGGGGGTCCATTCTTAACCTGAAACTGTTCTTAACCTGAAGCACCACTATAGCTAATGGGGCCTCCTGCTGCTGCCGTGCGATTTCTGTTCTCATCCTGAAGCAAAGTTCTTAACCCGAGGTACTATTTCTGGGTTAGCAGAGTCTGTAACCTGAAGCACATGTAACCTGAAGTGTATGTAACCCGAGATACCACTGTATTTGGAGGCATTTATTCTAACAGAAGCATCAGTGTATATTCATTTGGATCCAGTATGAGCTGCTGCTGAGCAATCTACAATATTTGCTGTCACAAGTATGAGGATTGAAGTATTGGAATTGATGGGGGTGGGAGGAACACACCAAAAAAAACCCTCCCATCAAAATTAAACCTCTCTTGAAAATACACTCAATTACTACCAAAGGGCTTAAAGTATTTAACCTTTAAAGTAAGAGTGTTTGCCTGGTATTGATTTATCAGGAATTACAAGCTAAGAAAACATGCTGTGTTTCAGTTTGTTGATTGCCTTCAAGGATATTCCTCTTTACAAAGGCCATCTAGCTGGGGAATACTTAATTCCTTGGAACAGCTTGTCAATTATAGTCAAATATACACAGTGAAGAAAAACAAGGGGGGACTAGATAAAAGTTTACTAGAGAGTTATTTTGAATATCAAATTCTTTCTAACAGAGCTGAGTACGGAAAGACATGAGATGCTAAACTAATGCATACTTTACACATATTCTTGAATTAATAGAAGGCACACAGAAGGACTGCTGTTTTATACAAAACATTTATTGCATTTCCATTTTAGAATAAATATATTTGGAGAAAATGCAATCCTTAAAACGTCTATGACTATATTTCATCTTTATCAAAGCACCCATCAACATTCAAAATTGATTCTGATGGGCAAATGCTGTTTCCAAGCCATGTTAAAATGTGACAAGCATCACATATTTCATTTCACAATAAAGATATGCATTCAATACAGATCTGGCAGTTGGCCAGGCTCTAACAGACGTAGTACACAAGAAAGAAAACACACACAGAAAGTTGAAACAAAAACAAAACTGAAAATATCATCAAACACTTTTAACATTAAATATTTCATCTTAAACCCTCAACAGCAATAACACCAAACACATACACACTAAAACCAGGAAGAATAAAAATGATATTGCTGCCCATCTAAAAGTCATCTGGGATGGGGCAAGTCTAACCTCTCTAGGGAGGGAATTCCATAAGTTGGGTGCTGCCACAGAAAAGGCCCTGTCTCACAAGGTTTGGCAGTTAGGCATTGGCTTAGTGAGATGTGGGGGAGGGGAGGTGCGGCCATCACTTACCCCTCCAGGTGCAAGGGTATTCCG